TTTTTTTTTGCTATTATTATTATCATTATTATTATTATTACTACTACTACTTCTACTACTGTCAGTACTCTTGTGTAGGTCATTGCTTTCTTGAACACAGTGGTATTTCCATTTGGTTCTGGTGGTTGTGTGTTTCCATTGTTTCTTATCATCCACTACCATTATCATTTTTTTTTTCTTTTTTTGTTATTGTGGACGGCAACAGTAAACACAATAAAAAAAGAAAAATAAATAAATAAAAAAAAAAAAGAAAGTAAAAGAAGAGATCTGTGAATTTTTTTAAAAGGTTACAAGTTCTCTCTTTTTCTTTTCTCTCTTTTTTATTTATTTATTATTTTCTTCTTCGTTTGCCCTTCTTAGTTCCCTTTTTGCTTACTGCATCTATATATATATATATATATAGTTGACTCTAAAGGGGAATTATAAAGTAAGAATAGGTATTGCGAGGCTAAAAAGAAAAAAAAAAGGAGTTATTTAATATCTTCCATTCTTCTTTTTTTTTATTTGTATTTTTATTTCTCCTTGTCTCCATTTCTTTCTTTGTTTTTTTTTTCTTCTTTCTATTGTATCTGCCTTTCTTTCCTTACTTACTTCACTTCACATATATTTTACTTTTTGGCACGTGTCGCGCAGGCTACTCTCTTCTTTATTTATTTATTTTTCTTTCACTTTGGCTGTGAAAGACTTGTGTTCAGGTAAGTGCGACTCTCTATCTCTATCTCTTCTTTGTGAGTGTCTCTCTGTGTGTATATTAGTGTGTATTTGGGGTCTCTCTCTCTCTATTTGGCCTCTCAATACACACATTATATTTACATCACTGACTTCATTTTTTCATTGTATACAGAAGCGAGGTATTTCTCTCTCTCTCTCTCTCTCTCTGTGTGTGTGTTGGTGAGATACACAATCACATTGAAGTGAGTAGATTACTTGAGGAAGAGTATACCGTGATTGTTTATTGTATTAATTCTCTTTAGTTTTTTTTTTGTTGTTTTTTTATTTATTTATTGTGTTCGTGTCTGTATTCACAACTGGTTTTCGATCGAGGTTTCTAACATCTGTTACTGTTACTATTACTTGTATTGCTGTTGTTGTTATTATTATTATTACCGACATCAGCAATCGTGTTTATCGTAGCAACAGAGTAAGAGAAAGGAAGTATTAGTGAATACTGTAAATATATATATATATATATATATATATATATATAAAGGGTGTAAATAGAGTGAAGAAGAGTCTCTCTCTCTCTCTGTGTATTTCTTGATTGGTGAGAATCTCTTTGAGTGTAAGTGTTCATTTTCCTTCGTGAATAGCATAAAGGAGCACTCAAGCAGCGAATTAAACCGCAAGAAGAAGAAAGAGAGAAAAAAAAGAAAGGAAAAAAGAACAGGCGAGGGGAATCATAAGAAGGAGGACAACTCTTTCAAAGGAAGATTATATACAAAATACAGCAAGAAAGAGCAAAAGAAAAAGAAGAGAAAAAGGAAAAGAAAGATATTTGAAGAGAGAAGAAAAAAAAAAAAAAAGAAAAAAGAGAAGAGGGAATACTCTTTTTTCTTTCTGGTTTTTCTTATTATTGTAGTGTATTTTTCTTTATCCTTCGAAAGAAGGTTATAGGGAAAGCGATAAAGTACTCTCTGTGTATCTGATATCAGAGTTAGGATAATTCCTTATCGTGATTTGAAAAAAAAAAAAAAGAAAATAAAGAATAGTAAAAAACAAACAAACAAACAAAGAAGGAAAGAAAGAAAGAAAGAAAGTAAAAAAAAAGAAAAAAAAAAAGGTATCTGATTACTACTATACACACTCAGTGTATTGTGAAAACCTAGAAAGCAAGATGCCGAGTGATACTTATATTAAAGCGGTGGATAAATCCGTAGAGAATCTCCGCGTAGGGGATTTCGTGGCTGTAGCCACTCAACGTGCAGATGGAAAGAAAGTGCATTGGACACTTGGAACTGTAGACTCCGCACCGTACATGCATGATATTGAGGTCCGGCTGTGGGAAAAGAGAAGAGATGAGGAAACCATGGATGATCAGCAAGATGCAATGGAAACAGAAGAAGGAAGAGAAATCGTCGAACGCATTGGACGTGTAAAGAAAGAACTCTCTGAAAGTATGCAGCAGGCGGCGGAATTAACCGAACAACTGCGGGAACGGCGAAGAAATATAATGATTGCAAGTAATGAGGCAGAGAAGCATGTAGCCCAATCACGTGCGGCTGTACAGGCGGCTAGCCTTGATGTAGATAATATTTCATATCGTAACTGGCAGGAACTCAAGTCTTATCGAGTCCCACCCAAAATGGTAACAACCATTCTACGTGCTGTAATGCTTTTGCTGGGTGAAGATGGCGCCTCCACGTGGCCGCAAATGCAACGAATATTACGAGATGTGCACTTCAAATCACGGATTATTGATTATGATCCTGGTGAGATGCTCACAACAGAGCGTTGTGAATACATCTTACGGGAATGTGTGAGAAAGAGGAGTTTTCAATATGATCGTGCTGTACATGGGAGTCAGGCAATGGGACCTATTTACTATTGGGTACTTGCACAATTGGACAGTTGTGAGGCCGCACGGGAACAACATCGTGTAGAGAAACAAATGGCCGTACAAAAGAAAGAATTACGTGAAGTAATGAAAGAGATTAATGAACAACAACAACGTATGGCAGAATATCAAATTATGATGGAAAAGGCAGATGAGCAATTACTGGCTTACAGAGAACGTCAACGAAAGACTTCTGGTAAAGCCTCATCTGTTAGTAGTTCTAACAACTATGATGCAGCACTTGAGCGATATAAAAACAGTTTCGCTGGTGCCGCAAATAAAAAGTATCTCCTTCCTGCGTTTTATACTTGGCAACCAACTGACTACTGCATTGTAGTTGTACGAAGAAATGCACTCGTGGGTTTTGGACCTGTACATGAGAAAAAATATACAGAAGGTAATGAACTTGACGAACAACAGATTCGTCTGCTTGACATTGCCATTCAGAGAAATCAGCGGAACCTCAATGCACTTTCCCAAAATAATGAAGAACGTGCTCGTCTTTTGAAGCAGGAGGAAAAAGAGTTTGAAGAGGGTATCTTCAAAAAGACAAAGAATGACGGTGAGGATGATACAGCTTTGATAAGAGATCTGCTACAATGTCAGGTGGACGGTGAAAACTGGAAACAAGTCCTTGATCTTAAACGTGCTGCTGTCGTTGACACCTTTGTCGAAGAGACAGCTGAGGCTCTGGAATTACCGGAAAAGAACATCACCGTTCTTGAGGTGAAGTGCCGTGAACAACCTGCAGCTTTAGTGGTTGATACAGAAGTACTCCACGATGGATTACGGTCCAAAGAAGAATTAAGAGACACCATCGACAGTTTTCCATATCCCAAACTGCATGCACTCTATGGTATTACTTCTGCAAATCTCATGGATCACAACATGCTATTTAAAGGGGAACTATGGGAACAAATTCTCCAAGAAAATAAAGAAGAAGTGGAACGAGCATTTAACCGAGATACCATTAACGCACTTTATCTTGAAGATAATGATAACATTAGCGTTAAATCTACAGAGTACAACAATGGTCTTTATGTGGTATACAAAGTACAAACTATAACTAAGACTGAAAATGAAATCACAAGTGCTGTTGATGCATATGACTACCCAGAAATATGGGCATTGTATGTTTCTTATCAGGAAAAGTTGCCAGTAATCCTAGAAAGAGTTTTTACTGGCGAGAAATGGGATGAAGTATTACAAAAAGAAAGACCAAAATTATCAAATGCATTCCAAAAGGACAGCAGCAAAGCGCTTGATTTACCAAAAACGAATGTGAAGGTAGTATCCATGACTGCAACAGAGGAACAACTAGCGGTAAAATACACAGCGCAAGACGAAAGGAGAGGACCTGAGGAGGTTTCAAATGTACTTGCTAAGTGTCCCTACTCTACACTAAACGAAATATACAAAAACAGTACCACTGACAAATCGTCTTGGAAAGAAACTGTGCATGAGGCCCAATTTGAAGGAGAGGACTGGGACTACACAGCAGAACTAATTGAACCAAAAATAAAGGAGGCTGTGGCTAAAGAGACAGCGGCTGCGCTGCAGTGTGCCCCTGAGGATGTGACCGATGTACAGCTCCTTACGACACCAAAGAAACTTCGTGCTATTGTAAGAGTAAGACATGATCCATCGCTGAAGGAAACACAGATAAACGACATCATTAGAGATCATCCTTACAATGGGGTATGGATGTTATATAAAATACGACCTTTTGATGAGAGCAAAAAATTGGAAACAGCACACGAACTTGACTTTGAGGGTGAGAAGTGGAAAAGTGTGGTGGAAAAACGCCGTGCAGAGGTTGAAGAGGCTGTGGTTTACGAGACAGCCCTTGCTTTGGATTGCAACCGTGAGGATGTGACTGGCGTGGAACTGGACCCAGTACCTCAGGCTCTTGTCGCAATTGTAAAAATAAGACACACACCTCAGTTCAAACGGGACCGTATTAAAGAACTACTCCAACAACACGAGTTCACAAAACTGTGGGAACTATATGAAGACCGCCCAGCAGGTGATAAGACAATGGAGACAAGACACGAGCTCGGCTTTGAAGGAACAGACTGGGACTACGTGGTGGAGCAGCATCCTAAGGAGGTGGAAGAGGCTGTGGCTTCCGAGACCGCACGTGCCCTGGAAGGCGAACGTGAGGATGTAACGAAAGTGGAGCTGGCCCCAGCACCCCATGCTCTTATCGCATTTGTTACTGTGCAGCACTCTCCGCAGCTGGGAAAAGAGGATATTAAAACAAAATTAACGGCGTACCCGTATAATGAACTATGGGCGCTGTATGAGGAGCGTCCACATGACTCATCTGAGCTAACGAAGAAATTCGAGGGTGACGATTGGGATCTTGTGGTTGAGAACAACCGTGAAAAGCTTGAGAGGGCATTCCGTAAGGAGACAGCTGATGCACTAGGCGTGTCGCCTTC